TGCGGCCGCACTCAGAATTGTCCGGTCCGCAGAAGCCTTCCATGTCAGAGCTCAAACTCAGGAGTGCGGCCGCACTCATAATTCTGCGGTCCGCAAAATCTGAAGAAGTGCGACCGCAACCCAGAATTGTGCGGCCGCAGAAGTCCATCCTGTCAAGCCAACACCAAAGTGCGGACCACACACAAAATTGTGCGGTCGCAGAACCTCCGCAGGGGCAATTTTGTCCGATAATTTCAGTTGTGTATAAATAGTCTTTTTTGTCAAAATTAGGTTAAGTTGGAACATCAAAAAGTAGATAGTAATTTTTCCTTTACTGTTTTGGGAAACTTTGTGATAGTTTATCATTTTAACATTAGATTTTCTTCCCTTTATCATCTATTATGAGTTAATTTTATCTTCTTCTTTAGTTTCTTCAGTTTTTTCTATGAGCAGCTAAATTTCTAGCCGGAGTTGTGACCCAACCCTAGTGTGGGCACCTAATGAATGTTTAATTTAGGGCTTGTTTGTGATTGGGTTAGTGATATTTAGCCTAGTTCTTGCTTGAATTTGAGAATTAATGGTTGCAAATTTATTCATGCTTAGTTGACTTAGTCTCTACTTGAGAAAGAGTGACTAAGTCTAGGAAAACATGGCTAATAAGGAATTAGGGTGACTCAAGAAATTGATAGCCCCAATTAAAGGGTTGAATCTAGAGATAGTAAGACCCGACTTGAGCATTTATCACTTGGTTTGAGAAATACCTATGTGGACTTGAGAAAGCCAAATTGGGCAAAATCACTCTAACTACCGAGAGGTATTGAGTGGGTAATTGCGTGTGATTGCTATATTACGACCCCGATCAATCAAACTTGCCCTAGAATCTACAACCCGTTAGGTAACCACCTAGGTGGAAGTCACGACCCTAGATCTTTTATAAACTTGAAAAACAACAACACCAAAAATATCGTTCTCTAGCTTTTCATTTGCAAACATTAGCATAATCATTAGAAGTAGAAAGAAACAACCAAACATGTCGAAGTGCAGTTTGGGCACATCATACACTTAATCTAGATATATACCTAATCCAATATAAGCTCTCTGTGGAATCGACCCCGACTCGCGTTGGGTAATTATAATTGCATCGACCGCTTTACAATCCCAATCAGTGGTGTGAATTTGGGCGACATCATACACTCCAACAGCCCACGTACGAGGGTTAGCGGAAGGAAGGAAACTTCTATTCGAAGTAATTAGGCAGGACATGGCGCTGCTTCAGCTAACTGAGGACATGACCCTTGATATGAGGGTGTGGAGGTTGAGGATTAAGGTAGAAGGTTAGTAGGTAGTTTATAGTGTTTACCGATAGGCTTAGTAGCATGCATGTCCCTTTATATTCTTAGATTTTTATTATGATATGTGATTTTGTTCACCTCGGGTATTGTATTCCCTGTTGTTATTATTTGATACTACTTATCCTTTATCTCCCCTTTTTTTATCTTCCATCTTTCTTCCTTCCTTGCTTCCCTCTTCTTCTTCTTGCCCTTCCCGATCCGAGGGTCTATTGGAAACAGTCTCTCTACTTGCATTAGGTAGGGTTAAGGTCTGCGTACAGACTACCCTCCCCAAACCCCACATGTTGGGATCAAACTGGGCTTGTTGTTGTTGTTGTTGAAGTCTTTAGTTGTGACAAGATTTCTTGGGATGATGGTGCTCACCGTAGGAGGAGCAACCTCATCGGCTTTACCTTTATTTTTTAAGGAACTAGGGTTTTTAGAAGAAGAACCCATTTCTATCAGTAAGGAAGGAAGAGTTTCTCTGAAGAAGAAGGCTAAAGAAAGGATGAAGACAAAGTGCGAGTTGAGTAAAGAAAGTTTGAGAAAGTTTGCGGAATTATGAAGTGTAAATGAAGAAGTTTGATGAGTATAAGTAAGGAATAGGCGGCTAAAATTGTGGCTATAATTACCTTGATAATCGGAAAAAGTAATGTACAATCGTGGAATGACGCGTGTTTGAGGCATTAAATGCGGAGAGACGTGCGTCTAATCAACCGTCAGAAACTTTTTCGAGGGGGTCAGAGAATTTCCCGCCAAGAGAGGTATCTTTACCAACTTCTCGGTAACACAAAGTTATGCCACCGGAAAGCAGGGAGACTATCTGTATGGGGTAAAATATGTTCATATTTAATAATCGCATAAAAAAACGATAGGTGGAGCCGAGGACAAAAGACTATTGGACCCGAAGGCAATTGTCTCACTTGTCATTGGAGAGAATGGTATTCATAAAGACAGAACAAATGTTTGTCATACGGTAGCATTCAATGAGGAATATTCTATAGCCTTAAGTGCATGATTCGTTACATTGACATTCACTGCCCATCGTTACACATTCTTCAATGACCCTCATAATTGTCATTTAAGAAGGGCTTGATCCTAGGACCTTGTTCCCTAGGTGTAACTATAAATAGTGAGCTCTACCATCATTGTAAAGGGGACGAATTTTCTGAGAAGCATACGCTATATTCTAGCAAAAGCTTAATAACATTTTACTTTCGTGCTTATTTATATTGTCCTTACTGCCTCCGGAAGCTCTGCGCTCCGGACTAAGATATCTGTCGTTTTATTTCAATTTCAAGGCTAAGTCTTACATTTTTTGTCTAATTCATATATTAATTTTGTCAAATCGATACACTTTTCTATAAATCACGTATAAATTCAACTGTGCCATTTTACGGGTAAAAAGTTAAATATAAAATAATACATCAATTGGGTTATTAACTTAAATTATGATTAGCTATGCAAGTTTCAAAATACAAACCAAATAATGTATAAACCAATACATACCAGAATTTATATCATGATTATATTATCTTATTTTCAAACCAAACGAGGATTAATACACACACCACGTTTTTCAAATCATCGATTGATGCAGGTAAGTGAGAATCCAATAGAGACAATTGCTTTTCTAATTATTTCTCGATAGAACAATTTCTTGTGAGCAAAGAAAAAGAGAACCCAAGCCTTAAGTGCGAGTCACGCAATAAAGAATCTCAGGCCAATAAGCTACGACTACGAAATGAATTGGATTCGACGCTTAAAAGCTATCGAAGAAGAGTCAATTCAATATTCAAGTCAAACGCGAGAATTCATAAGTCTTATTTGGAAGCCATTAGTTTAGATCTTTCCTCCTCTCTTTTTTTCTTTAAAAGTTAGATGGTTGGTTTTGGTAAATATTTTGAAAAAGTGATTTTTCTTGAGGTCTACTTTAATTTAGAATATAAAACCTGAAGATATACAGTACGATTTGCAAGGGAAAATCAAAAAGAAATTCAAGATCACATTACAAAAAAGTTAAGCTACAAAAAGTAGAAAAGTAATCACCAAGAGCTTGTTTGGATTAGCTGATTTTTGAAATAGCCGATAAGCATTAGGTGGTGAAAAGAAAGTGCTGAAATTGATATAATAAATAAGCACTCACGTGTTTTGATACAAATGCTGAAATTGATAATAAGTTATTGCAGTATTTGATAAAAAAGTGCTGATAAACTTTTTCTATGTTAAAATAACTTAAATAACCTTAGAACTGTTTGCACTTATAAGAGCGTAATTTCTTTAAAATTTTAGATTCCAAATCGATTCAAATACAAAATATTCTATTTGTCATTTTATTTTAAATACAAATGTGCTTAGATAAGATAACTTTTATGATAAATATAATTTATTTTATGATTAACATATAATAATAAGTTATAATAATTAATAAATTAACAAAAGTTGCTCAGTAAAAAATAAACCTAAATAGGACAAAACATTTGAGGAGAAACAAACATTGGCTTCATCACCACAATATTTAGAAAGCAATACACCAAAAAATTGATATATCCTCATTTATTACATACAGTTCAAAGATTAATAGACAATCACATAGATACAAATATGCAAAGGAATAGAGAATTTGCTTTTCTTAAATAGTCAATGAAAATTACAGACTTGAAGAGGCCCGGGGGAGGGGGGAGGGGGGGGGGGGTTTAGGTTGAAACAATACTTGAGACCGTGAGTATCGATGTAAGAGTTTTGTTCTAAAAAAAGAATATTTTAAGGATAAAATAGTAAAAACCTTGGTCAAACTTAAAGTGCTTATAAGCTAAAAAGTCATAAGGTGGGGATGACCAGCTTATGGCTTATTTTTGACTTATAATTTTACCAAACGCGTAAATAAGCTGAAAAGTGCTTATAAGCTAGTTTGACCAGCTTATAAGCTTAGCCAAACACCCTCCAAGTCTTTTGTGACGACATGAAGATTGTTGATTAAATTAATCCCTTCATTTAATTTAAACTTATTGCTCCGTTGCATAGAAATAATCCTCAAATACAAAAGAAAACATGACCTTGTCGATCTAATACAAAATAAGTAGTATAACATGATCATGTTGGAGCTGAAGTTGGTAGTGTTAAAGCTAGTAAAGTTAGTAGTGTTAAGTAGTCAAGATGGGCCAGCCCATCTGTTGTAATTATGTTATTCTTATTGAGGCCCATTAAGTGAGAGGCCCAATTTTATCATGTACATATGAGAGACCCATTTGTATGAGTTATACAGATTTGAGTAATAATAGATTTCACAATTTTCTCTGAACTCTCTTTCTCCACCGACATATCCTAGAGTTCTTCATCTTCTCATCGCTGTGGAATTTTCTCCAAATTCACTTGTTAACATGGTATCAGAGCCACGGAATGAGCTAATCGCGTTAGATACGTTACACATTGATGAATTTTGATTTACAATTTCGTCAAACCTGTTCGCGTTTTTTATCTCGGAGGAGATTCAATTTTTTCGGGGATCTACTCAATTTTTCTGGTGTTTTTCTATTTCTGAGCCTTCGGTGAACATTTGCGGTTGTTATTTGGTTGGATTTCTGTTAAGGCTTTTGATCTTTAGAGATTTGAGGCAAATTTGGTACTTTTTCTCCTGATTTGGAACCCTAATTTTGATTCATATCAAATTCTCCTGTAATTTCCTTTGCTATGGGTTCGACTGTCGAAGATATATCTAGTAGTTCTGGTGTAACTGATAATTCTGCTGTAACGCCTTCATCTCCATTATATCTGCTTCCTTCTGATTCACCTGGTACTATTTTGGTCACCACAACTATTGATGGCACTGGCTATGGAAGTTGGTGTTGAGGAATGTTATTAGGACTCTCATGCAAGAATAAGGTAGGCCTGATCAATGGAACAGTTGCACGACCTAATTCCACCTCTCCTTTACTCGAACCTTGGATTAGGTGTAACGACATGGTTGTGGCTTGGATTCTGAATAGTTTGGATAGGGAAATTAGGGAGACTGTGATGTACGCTGAAAGTGCTGAGAAACTTTGGAAGGAGATTGAGCGCAGATTTAGTCAAGCTAGTGGAATTAAGATTTTTCAAATTCGTAAGGAAATTTCCTCGATTAGCCAAGGCTCATCAAGCATTTCATCATATTTTAACAGAATCAAAAAGCTTTGGGATGAGCTTTCTTTTTCTGTATCGTATCCTGATTGTGTTTGTGGATGCAAAGAGACCTACCAAAGGTTAGATGAAGAACAGAAGGTTCATCAATTTCTAATGGGTTTGAACGAATCATATTCCACTATTAGGAGGAACATACTTATGATGAAGCCTCTACCTGATGTAGATAGTGTGTACTCAATACTTGTTAATGATGAGAGCCAATCTAGTGTTCAAGCTAATGTGCCATCTCTTAATTCTGATTCTACTGCTTTCTCTGCTGGTGTTCAGAAGTCATACTCTCAAAGAGTTAATTTCGACACTCAAAGAGCTAGTTTTAACCCTTCCAGAAAAAACAATATTGTTTGTCGTTATTGCAAGAAGCCTGGTCATCAGATTGAGAAATGCTACAAGCGTCATGGTTACCCTTCTGGTTTTCAGACTAAGTTCAAACGAACTGTAGCATTTGCTCAAGTGTCTGATACTCCACCTGTTGGACATTCTGAAAATTCTGCTGGTGATACCAAAATAGTTCAATCTGATGGTGGGAATTCTAGTATAACCAAGGAACAATTTGATCAATTGCTGAGCCTTCTGCTTTCTCGTGCTTCTGGAACATCACAAGAGATCTCTACTTGTTCTGCTAATTTTGCGGCTCTGATAGGTAATCCTGATTTCAAATCTTGTGGTCTGCTTGCTTGCAATTTTTCTAGGGTAGAAGATAGCACTTGGATCATAGATTCAGGGGCAACACATCACATGACCCCAAACTCTTCTTTTCTAACTGACATTAAACCTCTAGTCTTACCTTATCTTGTCACTTTACCAAATGGTTATAAGGTAAAGGTGATTTGTACAGGTACTCTTACCCTGTCCTCTGAAATATCTCTTACTCATGTTCTCTTAGTGCCTTCCTTCCAGTATAACCTCATTTCTCTTGCTCAACTAGTTTTACAGCTGAATTGTTTGGCTTATTTTTCTTCTATTGCTTGTGTTTTGCAGGGCCCTTCTCTGAAGAAGCCAGTGGGTCTTGGTAGTCTTCAGAATAGGCTCTACATTCTCAATCCTGCAAACCTTGTTACTTCTGAGTCTACTTTTCATCCTTCATTTGTAAATACCATTACTGCCTCCACTTTACATGATTTGAATAAGAGCAGTAGTTCTACTTCTAATCTTGCATCTTCTGTATCTGTGAATGCTGATGTTTCTTCTGCTATTCAATCTCATGAGTTGTCTTTTGACCATTCTTGGCACTTGAGGCTTGGACACATGCCCTTTAATAAAATGAAGTCCATTCCATTCTTGTCTGATAAACTGTCAAAGAAACAAACGTACTTGTGTCCTATTTGCCCCATGGCTAGGCAACAATGACTTCCATTTCCTGAAAGTAAAATACATTCCACTTCTCCTTTTCAATTAATACACATAGATCTTTGGGGACCCTATCACACACAAACATATAATGGGTTCAAATATTTCATGACTATTGTGGATGATTTCTCTAGAGCTACCTGGACTCTTTTACTATCTTCAAAGAGCAGTGCTTTCACCTTGTTACAATCCTTTGTGCTAATGCAATTTGATGCCTTGGTCAAAGTAGTAAGGTCTGATAATGCTTTTGAGCTGGGTTCTAGCTCAGCAGCTCAGTCCTTCTTCTCTGCTCATGGGATTTACACCAAACCTCCTGTCCACATACACCACAACAAAATGGTGTTGTGGAGAGGAAACATAAACACCTTCTTGAAACTGCTAGGGCACTTCTATTTCAGTCCAAACTCCCTGTTAAATATTGGGATGAGTGTATCTTGACTGCCACTTACCTCATAAATAGGTTTCCTTCACCTTTGTTAAATAACAAAACTCCCTTTGAGTTACTTTATGGTGTTGCTCCTTCTGTCACCCATTTTAGGACATTTGGTTGCCTTTGTTTTGCTGTAGTCCCCAAACCATATAGAGACAAATTCAAATCAAGATCCATTCCTTCTATTTTTCTTGGGTACAGTGCTGACAAGAAGAGTTATAAACTACTGTCATTATCCAATTCCAGTGTTTTCCACTCCAGGGATGTTGTTTTTCATGAAACTGTATTTCCTTACTCTTCTCCTGATTCTACTCATTTATTTCCTCCTTCTGCTGTTACCCCTTCTTCAGTCCCTTCTTCCTCTCCCACTCCTGTTAGTCATCCTAACAATAGTAGTTCTCCTCCTATTTCTCCTCCTATCTCTCCTAATCCTTCTTCTTTGCCTAGAAATGCTATTAGTCCTTCCTCTCCTTCCCATGCTCTTTCTCCTGTTCTGAGAAGATCTCTAAGAACTCACAATCCCCCTTCCTACCTTGATGATTATGTTTGTTCCTCTGTTTCTAGTTCTAAGGTTCCTTCACCCTCTGCAAGAACCACAATTTTACCATCAAGCTGCCTCCAATCCTGCTTGGCAGGAGGCTATGCTGAAAGAATTTCAAGCTTTGGAAGCCAACAATACTTGGGATATTCTTCCTTTGCCTCTTGGTAAGAAAGCCATACCTTGCAAATGGGTGTATAAGATAAAACAGAGGGCTGATGGTTCAGTTGAAAGATACAAAGCTAGGTTGGTCATTAGGGGTGATAATCAGTTAGAAGGGGTAGACTTCACTGAAACCTTCTCTCCTGTAGTTAAATTGACAACTATTAAATGCCTCCTATCTGTAGCCATTAAAAGATATTGGGTAGTGTACCAACTTGATGTCAACAATGCTTTCCTACGTGGTGATTTGGATGAAGAGGTATTCATAAAAATCCCTCAAGGCTTAACTGTTTCTACCCCTCCCTCTGTTCCTGTTTCTTCATTAGCTTGCAAATTAAATAAGTCCCTTTATGGCCTTAAGCAAGCCTCGAGACAATGGTATGCTAAGCTTTCCTCTGCTCTTCAATCTAAGGGTTTTCAACCTAGCTTGAATGACTATTCTCTATTCAGAAAATTGAATGGACCTCATCTCATTGTAGTGGCAGTTTATGTGGATGACATACTGTTGGCTGGGGATGATGTGTCTGAGTTGAATTATTTGAAAGCACTCTTAGATACTTAGTTTAAGATCAAGGATCTTGGTGAGGTTCATTACTTCCTTGGGCTTGAGATTGTTAAATTGCCTCAAGGATACTTGATCAATCAACATAAGTTTGCTTTGGATTTGCTCTCTGATTTCCAATGTTCTGCTGTTACACCTGTGGTAGCCCCCTTAGACTCTCATGTCAAGTTGTCAGCTGAGGTTGGGGATTTACTACCTGATCCATTTGTTTATAGAAAATTGGTAGTCAAACTCAATTACTTGCAGCATACCCGACCTGATCTTTCCTATACAGTGCAACATTTGAGTCAATATATATCTGCTCTTCGAGTCCCTCACTTGGAGGCTGCTTATCATGTTCTTAGATATGTAACCGGCACCCACTCCTCACTTTTCTTTGCATGGTTTTTGTGACTCTGACCGGGCTAGCTGTGCTGATAGTAGAAAGTTTGTTTCAGGTTTTGTGATGTTCCTTGAAGGCTGCCCAGTTTCTTGGAAGTCCAAGAAGCAGCCTACTCTTGCTCTGTCCTCTGCTGAAGCAGAGTATAGGGCTCTTTGTTTGTTGGTAGCTGAAGTTACTTGGGTTGTTCGATTGCTGGGTGAGCTGGGTGTCGATAATCTCAGCCCTGTTGCTCTGTACTGCGATAATCAAGCTGCAATCCATATAGCCAAAAATCCTGTCTTTCACGAGCGGACCAAACATATCGAGGTGGACTGCCATTTCGTCCGGGATGCCTTGTCTACTGGTTTGATCTCATTGCATTCTATCTCTACATCTGCTCAACTTGCTGATATCTTCACTAAATCTTTGCTTGGTGTGCAGCAGCAGGCTTTTCTTCCCAAGCTTGGAATGGCCAGCCCTTCCAGCTTGCGGGGGGGTGTTGGAGCTGAAGTTAGTAGTGTTAAAGCTAGTAAAGTTAGTAGTGTTAAGTAGTCAAGATGGGCCAGCCCATCTGTTGTAATTATGTTATTCTTATTGAGGCCCATTAAGTGAGAGACCCAATTTTATCATGTACATATGAGAGACCCATTTGTATGAGTTGTACAGATTTGAGTAATAATAGATTTCACAATTTTCTCTGAACTCTCTTTCTCCACCGACATATCCTAGAGTTCTTCATCTTCTCATCGCTGTGGAATTTTCTGTAAATTCACTTGTTAACAGATCACCAAAAGGAAGAAACGCCATCAAACAGTTAGATTTAAAACCAATTAATTACTTGTTCAGTTACCTGTCTTGATCAAGCGGCTCTAGGGGTTGTTGAAGGCGATTGTCGTATAGACTATAGTACGTAGCATGCAATTCACCAAAAAAATAAATACTCAAATATCGATATATTGAAGATTAACCACATGTGCAATATCTAAAATTTTGAGTTTCTCAGTTCTCACACGTGTGAAGTAGATAAATATACAGCGAGTGGCAAAATCTTTTAAGGACTACCATATATAATCTAGAGTCGGATTCTTTGGAGCATTGTCATTTGAACATGAAAACCCACCATTCCACCAATAATCCAAGATCAGTAACAACACAGAGAGAACCCAAAGACGTGGCAAGTTGTATGTAATATTGATATACTTTTCTTATTTGTTCCTTTGAAAAATAAAAATATATATTATATTTGAAAATAATTTACTTTTAATTAGAAGCTTTTTAATTATAAAATTGAAGACCTCACAAAATGTTTTTACTTTAAGTTTTTAAAGTCAGAAATATCAAAAAAATCTTTTTATAAATTCAATGCAAAATTATATTAGTAAATTGAAACGGGTGAATACAATTGACATTCGCTGATATTCGATTCACTCTAGCTCATTTATCGCTTAATTGTACGACCATATCACTGGTCCAACTAGGAGTGTCAATGGTTCGTTCGGACGGTTATTTTTCACAATTTGTACCATATTAATCTTTTAATTATTTTATTATATAGGATCAAAATTAAACTTTTCGAAATCCTCCCAATCATGTGGGTTTCTCTTCGATATCGGTACGATTCGGTTAATTTTTGATATTTTTTTAAAATGTAATGTAAAAGGCACTAGTACAAATAGAATGCAATAACATACGTACTTTTATAGGACTTAACAAACTTTCTAGATATTTTTACTATTTAAAGGGTGATAAATTAAGAAATTATGAAAGATGACCAAAGTATAGATCCATCAACTATTCTACAGCAACGTAAAAGAAACTAAGACAAAAAAAAAATATAAATCACACTAGTAAAAAAATATGAACCAAGCTAGAACGCACGAATAAAGTCTAATAGAAGATTAAAATATTCAAAAGGATAAATTTAATCATACGAAAGGAAACATATTCAATACATAATTTGCTACTAATCGCTAGAATACCTTGTGTCTTGCTAGTGAATATGCTCGAATAATTTTGTTTCAATAGGAGTAGCATTATAGGTTTGGAAATTAGGATTATGAGTTTAATACTTGTTGGCTTGTAACCGTTTTCACAATTCTAAGGCCCAAGGAAACTTTTAATACATTATTATTTTTAAACTTATATATATATATATATATATATATATATATATATTTTCTATGTAAATTTATTCGGCACGGTTCGATATCTTTTCGATTTATTTTTATAAAATAAAAAACTACCCTAATTATTAGTACGGTTATAAATTTATATAAAATCTTACGATGTTATTAAAAGAAATCTAAAAATCGATTCGACACGATATAATTTAATCGATTTTTAAATATTCATCGACACGTCTAGTTCCAACCATGTCCTGACACAGTCACAGCAAATCAGCCTTATCTTTACTCCCTAGTCTCTATAAACGAATAATCTAGAATATTTTACATTATATCAAATTATTTAAAAGTAATATGAGTAGTAAATAGTCCGATAAGTCTACATAATTTGATTGCCATGTTAATTCAGAAAGAGTAGGAAACTTCTTTTACCTTGTCGTGGGTATATACAAATTAAGAATATACTAAAAATATTTTGTCTGTTATTGAAAATAGACAATACATATCTTGTAGAGTCGTCCCCCCAACGTAGCAGTAACGTGGCTTTCACAGTCATTTGACTACTCAATAGGGCTATTTCTGTCTTTTCATCTCTCACCTGCTTATAATCATAAAATTCAAGCAACTCTAGCAGCAGATACGCAAATGGATATATATTTGTCAGTCAGTTCGTGTTCAGAAGAAGCTGCTATACCATCTCAAATTCCAAAGTCGGCGAATATAAATCAAATTTCCTGCATTCTATTTAATTTGTCCAAGATATGCAAGATATACATTCAATTGGAGGTGGCGGAGGGCGGTTTTACGGCGGCAGTGGAAGTGACAGACGACTAAGGCTTAACCAACCCCAAGCCGTAAAGTGTCCTCGTTGTGATTCTCTCAATACAAAATTCTGCTACTACAACAATTATAATCTCTCTCAGCCGCGCCACTTCTGTCAGAGTTGCCGGAGGTACTGGACTAAAGGCGGCATCCTCCGTAACGTCCCCGTTGGCGGTGGTTGCCGCAAAAGCAAACGGTCCAAGCCCAAGCCGTCGGCTGTTTCTACTACTGATGATACTTGTCAGGAAAGTAAGTCCAACTCCAACTCCAATTCCAAGTCCAATTCCAATTCCGGCAGTGAAAGTTCTAGTCTTACTGCTATTACGTCCACAGCTACTGCAGCGAATACATCCGTTGCTATGACTCCGGAAGTTGTGTTATGCAATTCATCTAATCCGACTCTGCCCGACGTTCAGGACTCTAGGTTTTTAGTAACTGAAACTACGAAGGGAGATTTTATTGATGAGCAAGTAGTGGGACATACAACAGAAGAGCAAATATTTCATGATATTGGGGCTTACCCGATCAATGCGAACAACATTTCAATGTACCAAAACTCAAATGCGGGTTTCTTTGATCGGACGGCTCACGTTGAGTTATCAGGGAGAAGGGCAAACGACGGTGGACTGGCTCCGGTGGATTGGCAGACCGGAGGGCTGTTTGGTATGATGGAGAACAGTGATCATCACTACTCTTACTGGTATCAAAGACAATGGGGTGAAAATGATCACTCCTTTAATTACCTCCCTTGATCTCTGCTCTTGTTTAATCTTGAAATTATTGTCCAAGGTATAATACTTAAAGAAGTAAAGGTGAAAAATTATATATATATATATATATAGCTGTTTAATTATGTATATTATCACTTAAGTTTAATATGCACCTGACCTATCCATGCTTGGTTTTTTCTTTCAACTTTCCCACTGATGTATATTAGGTTTCGTGACTTGGTGTAAGATATGTGTGCATTCTAATTAAGCGATGAAGTTAATTTCAGTATCTAATTATCTATTCAAATATCAATGAGCTGAGTTGTTATAATATTATAATGTTCTATAATAGGGGATGCAGGCACTCATTGTTGTCTTTCTAATATGCAGTTATGCTCTTGCATAGTTTGACACCCCGAATTAACACGAAATTGTTGTTAACAAATTAATGGCTCATTGTTCATTACTCAGCAGTAGTTGTTGTAGTCTAAATTCCTTCATTTCGGAATGTGTTTTGGAGGTCCGTAGCTAATTTAGGCTTGAAATGCCGAAAGTTGGAATTTTGAAGTTTTCGGTCCGATAGTGAGATTTTGATCCGAGGGTCGGAATGGGATTCCGGAAGTTGCAGTAGCTCCGTCATGTCATTTGAGACGTGTGTGCAAAATTTCAGGTCATTCGGACGTGTTTTGGTTAGGTTTTTGATCGAAAGCGTATTTTGAAAAAAATTGGAATTCTTAGGCTTAAATCTTTGATTAATTCGGGTCTCCGGTGTTGTTTTAGGTGTTTTAATGATTGGTACAAGTTTGAATAGGATATTAGGTGATATTGGTGCTTTTGGTTGGGGTCCCGGGGGCCTCGGGATGAATTTGGATGGTTGACGGAAGGATTTTGGAAGTTGGGAGATTTTAGATCTTTGCTGCTTCTGGTATTTTCGCATCTGCGGTTTGGGGAACCACAGATGGGGTACCGCAGATGCGGCTAAGTAGACCGTAGAAGCGGGTTTAGGTTAGTTCAGCAGTTTTCGCAGATGCGGTGGATTTTTTCGCAGAAGCGGATCCGCATCTGCGAGATTTAGACCGAAGGTGCGGAAAATTGGCCTTTTAGTGAAAGTCGCAGATGCGACCTGAGTTCCGCAGAAGCGGAAATCTCTGGGCAGAAATATGAAATTCGAGGGTTTAGTTTCAAAAGTTAGAAAAATCAAATTGGAGCTCGGGAGAGGGCGATTCTGAGAGGGATTTGAAGAGGAGATCATTGGGTAACGTTTCTTTAATCCTTTCTAGTTATATTCCATCAATCTATAGTAATTTTACCATTTAAATTCGGATTGGGGATCAAAAATTGGGAAAAATTGGAAAAAACTTCTTAGACCGAATTATTGAGTTTTGAGTGGGTGTTTGACCTCCGATTTGAGAGATTTTTATATGGTTAGACTTGTGAGAGTA